TAGCATAAACAAAAAAGTAAAGTTATCCCCTTAGTACATAATGTGCATTTCTATGCTTATGTTTTTATCTGTTAACTAGCCATTTACATTGAGAATTGCTACATTATTAGCACTTTTGCCTATTTTTTTCACTGAACTGATTATTTTTTCCTTACCAATTTATATCAGTATTTTGTAATTCCAGTGTGGATTTGTTTGTTTTGTTTTATTTTGTTTTGTATTTTTAGGGAAGGGTCTACAGGGTGTTCAGGGTCTTACTACTAACTAAATCAGACTCATAGTGATCTGCCTGTTTACAACCTCCCAAGAGCTGGGATTACAGGTGGGTGCTACCATGCACAGTCTCAATTGTTGCCTCAGGGTGCCCTGGGGGCGGGGCTGGCGGGACAGGCCCAGGGATGGAACCCTCAGCCCTTGCACCTGCTTGCAGGCACTTTAATCCATGGAGCTATTTTCCAAAGTGCTACTAATATTTTGCTTTTATTACAGAAATTTTTATATTGTTATGTAGAATATTTTTCAGTGTTGGGAGATTGAGGTCTTGTGCATGTTAAACAAATGCTATACCACTGAACTATACTCCCAGCCTTATACAAAGTAACCTATTTGTATTTATTTTCCTTTACTATTTTAGGAGCTTTTGTTTTTGTTCAAGGCTTTCCTTATCCCAATATTATGAAACAGTCCATTGAATTTCCTTTGTTTTACACACATGTATATATACAATCCCAAATATTTGATCCGCCTTTGTAATGTGAGATGTGGTTCTTTTTCATCTAAGTAGATGGATGGCTCAAGCCAACGTCTTTTTTTCCCCCAGTACCGGAGATCAAACTTGGGATCTTATACTTGCCAGGCAGGCACTTATGCCTCTGAGCTATATCTTCAGCCCAGGACAGCATCATTTATTACCAATACCTTTCCAATGTTTATTTTGTCTATATTTAGAGATCTTCATAAATACACTTCTTTTCTTTTTGGTTAGTTCTGCTTCAAAATATTTTAACAGGATTATATTGTCTATAATATTTTTAAAATTTAATCTTTCATTTTAAATGGTCACATTTCATTTGTTTTTTCATATTTTATTGAATTTTAATTAGAGTATATCAAGTGTATGTTTCTTTTTCTTTTTTCGGTTTGTTTTGTTTTTTTGTTTTGTACTGGGAATCAAACTCAAGACCTTGCGCTTGCCAGGCAGGTGCCTCTGCCACTGAGCTATATCCCTGGCCCCCAAGTGTCTGTTTTCTATCATAAATTTTCAATTGTCTCTTCTCTCTTGAATGTCATTTCTCCTCTCATTTTATGTTATGGAATATTTTAATAGATCAGAATTTTTGAATTTTTTAGAAGGATTTTTTAAATAGCAGGGCAGGGCATGCCTTTACTCATTACTGATTCTTCATTAAATACACCAAAGCATGTCAAGATCAGTATCTGGATTCTGTTTAGGTGTATGCACTTTGCTTATTTATGCTTCAAATTTTCTATCATAAAGTAGTGGGAAGGTTCTTTAAGGTAAATTGAAGCTCAGGTAGAGTACTGTGGGAATAAATGCTTAGCAGGAAAAACTGGAATGCAGGAGCCAGCTTCCTGGGTCTGCTTTTCTTCAGCCCGTTCACCGTAGACACATCCTGTGGCCGTTCCTGACTTCTTGTTGCTTCTGCCTCTTGTGCCTGAGATGACCCATCCCTGAGCTCCTGGGATCCTTTGCAGGGTTGTGCTACATGCTCTCTGCCTTTGTTTTGATCTCTAGCTCTGGCCCTCTAAGGTGAATGGGTCATTAGGGAAAGGAAACTTTCCTTCAACTCTAACCTCCCACTTATTCTGAATGTAGTTGAAATTCTTCAAACCCTGCACCCTATAGATGCTATTCTTCTCTCATTTCTGTTGCTGATACAAGAATTTTTTGTCTTTTCTTTGATTCTTTTTGTTGGGATTTGGAGATTTAAGGTGTTTATATTTAAATTTCCTGTTAGTCTAGTATTGAAATTTGAAAGTGACAGTAGAAGAAGTGCTTGCCTGGCAAGCACAAGGGCCTGAGTTCAATCCCCGGTTACACACACACACACACACACACACACACACACACACGAAATTTGGACGTGAGATTCAGAAGATGTTTGACACCTAAGAGGCAGAATATTTGATATCTTTTCACAAACTTCTTTTAGATTTATTTTGTGGAAAACAATAAAAAGTTCTGAGAAAATTACATTCTTGGTAAGGGCATAGAATGAGCAAAGGCACAGAGGCAGGACATAAAAGGAACAAAATTCGGTAGCTCAGTGGGCAAAGGAAGTAAAATGAATGATCCAGGGAGAGACCTGGAGCTGAGCTTCATTCAGCTGTTTTAAGAGCCCAGCATTTGTAAGCATGGGTTTAACCTGTCCTCTTTACACATAAAAATTTAACAGTTATTAAGGTAGTAGTGATACAATAAGATATTTCCTAAGTGGAGAATACTTTATGAAGTGAATAATTAAAAAATCATGATGTATAAGAGCCTGCCTGTACTTGGATCAAAACATGGTAACATTGTCACCCTCCCCTATCTCCTCTACCAAAGATTGAACCTAGGGCTTCTCAGTTGCAAGTACCATGTCATTGACCTATATCCTAGCACTTCCTGGTCTTTGTTTGAAAAATGGTCTTGCTAAACTTTCAAGCTATCCCTCAACTTATAATCCTACCTCAGCCTCCCCAGTAGCTGGGGTTACAGGCATGTGACACCCATCAGCTGACACAAATGGCATCTTGATGAAGTGAATGCTGTAGAAAATCAATACCACTTGAAGACTCTATAACTAAAAATGAAAGCATGAATTAAATGAAAATTTACTAGTCTAGCCAAGCAACTGACTGATGGATTGAAATATTATCTTTTGCAATCTGAAGACAAGGCAGGAGTCCTGGAAATTTATTTTTGTAGGCTTGCTATTTTCTTGTGAAGTTTAATTAGTGTCCTATTTATCAGTTCATGTTTTGAGTCATGGAGAAATTTAAAAGGAATACCTTAACATGTAGTATCCTCTATTACTAAATTAACAGGGGATAAAATTAAAATTAATTTATAAAAATGATCTTCCTTAGACATGCTTTCTTACCAAGTTGTTTGGTGGGACAGATAAGAAGGTGGTCTCCTTTCTTTGTTGACAACCTTCCTGAGACTAGCTGGGACAGAAACATGTTTTTCTGTTTGGACTTGACCTCATCTCGTTATTTTTCTACATATTCATCATCTGTTATTTTCTTAAATTGAGCTAAGAGTCTCACTATGTTGCCCAGGCTGGCACTGAGCTCCTGGGCTCAAGTGATCTCTCAGCCTCCCAAGTAGCTGGGACTGGGGGTATTGCACCCAGCTCACTGTCTGACTCTGCACTATGTGCAGCACAGGAATGGAAGAGGACAGAACTCAACTCCTGCCAATAAGCTTTCAAAAAAAAATTTTTTTTTAACTCAGCTACCCGGTTTCTGAAGTGCCTTTTACAGTTTCTTCTAATTTTTTAATTTGCTGATTTTTTTTTCCACTCGAAAGAGCTATAAAGAGTGTAAAGCTGAGTAGTTGATTTTAAATTCTGCTTCTCTTAAATTTATTCTATCAATGTTGATTACAAATCAACAGAAGAAAGCTAAGTGAAGCAAGGGCAAACTGTAGAAGCTCATGAGTAGCAAGATTAATTTCAAAAAGATCAGGAAATAAATATTTTAAACTTCCACTGACCTTACTGAAATAACTGCCAGAAATACTCTATTTGAGTCATTCTCATAAATTAGTCATTTTCCAAAACAGCTGTGGCAATATGATATAATAAAAGAATAGTTATTTAACAATCAAAAGGTTAGGAGTTCTTGTTTTGGTTTATTCACAGAGAGATTAAATAACATGTTCCCTAGATGAGGATGCCATGCAGGGGAAGACTGAATTGGATGATCTGTCTTTAAAAACTCTTGAGTTTGCTGGAATTTAGACACCACTCAAAAAACACACCAACAATCTTAGGTGAAAATGCAAGTTTTATCAAGTGCAGACTACTGTTCATAGTCTTAGAAGGCCTCCTTTGTACTAGGCAAGACTCTTGTATGAAATGGATTACACTTCAACTGGCTCAGGCAAAAAGTTATTAAAATGGATTGCAGAATTGTTGGGAGGGCTGAAGAGACAGACTGAGGCCTGAGCTTCTAGGAATGGCTTTCTGAAGTCACAACACAGAACTGGAGACAAGGGCATCTGCTGCCTCCACCAGATGTGCCTTAAAGTTGAGACTGCCTGCCCAATTGGAAAACTATTGTCACACTTAGCAGCATCAGGGGAATGCTGTCCCTGCTACCATCCACATGAACCTAGTGGATGCCCTGTTCCTTTTCTCTCCCCATGACTCCAGTTCAGTCCCAGCTCTTGGCCAAGTCTTTCTGACTGGTGCAGCCTAAATCACATCTAAAAGCCTAGATGCAGGAGGGTCCTGAGAATCCATCTTTCCTACATCAAAGTATGTTTCATCTCAACAAGGAAACCAGTATATCCACCTTATTTATCATATATATTTAGCAAACTATTTAGTAAGCTAAGTATGTATGATAACATTTGTATTTTCTAACATTTTCAAAGTACACTCAATATTATGTAGAGCTAGAGTGTCAAGTCACTCTACATATAAACAAGTCATTGCATATTACTTCCTAAGAAAACAATTGATCAGAATTTTAAATGTAGGATTCTCCTAGCTTTGTATTTTCTCCTTTTTTTTTTTTTTTTGGTGCCTAGCTCAGCCTGCACTGAGGGTGGGGCTGGCACAGCATGTGGTGCAGGGGATCAAACCATGGTCCCTATGGTTGCCTAAGCTTGCCTAAGTAGGCACTTTAGATTGCTGAGCTATGCTGAGCTATCTTGCCGGCCCTCCTACCATTTCTGTTTACATCTGAACTTCTTCCCCCATACAACCACCACAAACACATACTTATGCTCCACCTTTCAATCTGATATACTCTTTACTGTGCAGACCTGTGAATGAAGAACCTGAGCCCTTGGATGTCAACACTGCTAGCCGGTGGCATGGTGTGTATGTCAACAGAACATCTCCAGCACCTTCAGAATCTGCAACCACTGTTAAGTCACTGATCAAGTCATTTGACTTGGGACGCCCAGGTATTTAATCACTTTTTTACATAAGCAAAGCTCTATATTCAAATGTTAGCCTGACATTTCAAGCCTGTCTTAGCTCCACACTGGTACAAACACAGGGCTCTTTCATATACACCTCGTGGAGCCACTGTATACAACAGCCAGATGGAGGCTCCAGGGAACCACAGTGGATTATCCATCTTATGAATAATACAAATACCACCTCTTTTTTTTTTCCCCCATTCTCCCTATCTCCAATACCTCCCTCTCCACCTTCCTGTTCTGCCTCATTATACCCATTACATACAGGTAACTACTATTTGCCTTTGATCCATCTCCTGAGAATTGGCAGGGTCAGCCAGCGCCTTTATCTCCGAGGAAACAAGGCATCACATCATTGCTATACATTTGGGCCTTTTATTGAAACCCCCAGCCATATTGCATCTTATAGTGTACTGTTTGACTTCTCTACCTGGTCTTGTGTGTGAGCTCCTGTACCGATCTGTCACTCCTGATCTTGGTGTGTTCTCTGCTTTTTATGGAATAGTCTATCTGACTCAATTTCCTTTTAGTTAGGTGGCTTTTCTTACACATGTAAAAAAAATGTACCCATACTTTACACACATACACATAGACACAAACACAGTAAATAGAAGAAAGAGAATGTACATCTGTCCATAATATCTTTCTTTGATTATAAAAAGCGTGCATTGTACTTGAAAACTAGAATAATAACTAATCCTTAGATGTACTTAATTATCTCTGTTAGTTTGCTGTTAAATTAGATTAAGATTTGTCTACTCATATGGAAAGGTAGGAAGGCTCAGTTAGCCAGGCTGTACAGATAGGAAATGAATCAACAGTAATATCTTTGGGAAGGACTTTCCTATTCTCCACAGAGAAACCCCATTACATGCTCATTCTTTTTTAGTTATCTTACACCTTAAGCCCAGTCCTCACTTGGCTAACTCCTCCTCTTATTTCTTCAATCCAACTCTAGTCCAAAGGACAGTAAATGTTAAGAGTATATGTTATATGAGGTATAAAAAGTAAAGCCATATTAATATGCTGAGCTGTGAAAGGCTCAAGTCAACAATTTCTGACATTGCCAGTCCTACGGATAACCCACTACTATTACAGACTACTGGACTATATTGGATTATTTTGCTGAATTCACGCACCTACAATATTTAAATGGCAATGCAATACCCATCTCTAACAAAACTAAACAAAGGGGATACAAAGGAAGGACCATTTTGTATCTGTATATGCAAAATAGGATAGATATACAGCTCCTTTTTCTTAATTCAGTGAAAAGAAAGATTTGTACTAATAGTAATTGGACAGGATATCATGTCTACATCTTGTACTATGAATAACCACTAAGAAGATAATAATATGCAATGTATGAATTATTGAATCTGTCCTATTAATCGGTTTTAAAACTGTCTCATTGCTTTTTCTCAATAAAATAAATTTTAAAAAGTATATGTTATGCTAAACATCATTGAATATGTAAGTCTCCAAAAAGTAGCAACAAATCAAAAACTGTTCTTTGCAAGCAACTGTAAATATAACAAACCTTTGTGTGTGTGTGTGTGTAAAATCTCCCTCAATCTCTTTTCTTGCCAGGTGGAACTGGGCAGAATATTTCCATCCATAAGGCCCCCAGAAGTCCTCTAAGTGGAATACCAGTGAGGACCACTCCAGCAGCTGCTGTCTCTCCCATGCAGGTATTAGAAGAACATCAGAGATTATGTTACTTTTGTGGTTTGCTGTATATGTTTCTAGACGTGCTTTACATGTATGTTGGGGGAAGAATTTTGTCAACCAGATTATACGTTAACCTGACACTCATTTCACTTTTTTTTTTTTTTTTTTTCTCAGGAACCGGGGATTGAACTCAGGCCCTTGCCCTTTCCAGGCAAGTTTTTTTTTTTTTTTTACTCATTTCACTTTAACACTGGTATGCAGGCTCTGATGCTAGAGATTTGTGATATTTTGCTTACTGTTGGATCTCAGGTCTAGAACACTGGTAGGAAATACAGTCATGTCATAGTAGATCCTCAATAAGTATTTGTTGAGTGAATGAAAATATATGGTGGAGACATCTTTAATGCCAGTCTATCCAGAAATAACTTTTAAAGTGGCATAGGATGTACATTGACATATTTAGCCAAATTATTTGAATTTAACTTACTGTAAGAATGGAAAAAATCCTTATACAGTTTTTTTAACCTCTTAAGAATCTATTTCCATAGAAGAGTATATCAGGTATATTTGTAGGTATTAGAAATTATTCTCAAGAGTGAACTAGAAAAAATATATATATATACTTTAAGATAGACTCTTGTTATGTAGTGCATGCTGACCTTTAACTCACTTATGTATCCCATGCTGGCCTCAAACTCATGTCAGTCCTTCTACCCCAGCCTCCTGAGTGCTGGAATTACAATTACTTGCCATATCTGGCAAGTGAAAATAATTTAATATAGAGATTTTGGTTCTGAAAGAGATAAAGGAGAAAGAAGGTTCACTAAGCCTTTTAAAAGGTTCTCAGAACATCTCAAGATGGCTCATTAAAGGAGCTAGTATTTCTGCCTGAATCAGGGAGCCTTACACTAAGTACTTGCCTGAGGCTGCTACTTCTGTCAAAATCTGCAGTTGGATTCAGGACCACACTACTATAGGCTCAGTCTTTGTTAGCAGAACAAATGCTTTATGCCCTGATCTGTAACACCTATAAAGCTATGGGATGAGACACCTGTGTTCCACTACCACAGAAAAGTGCCTGCACAGCCATGGATGCCAGCAAAAGCTGCAGAAGGGCAATTAGATTGCACCTTCCAGATCTCCTGAGAATGGGCCTACTTGACAGAATGTTGGTCACTTAGTAAACCAGGCTTTAAGGGAGTGTGGAAAATATAGCCTTCAGCTTTCCCATCTCTTACAATACAGTAAATCACCATACAAAGTGGAGTTGAGTGAGCCTGTACCAAGTTCTGCCATAAATGGAGTCCTAGAAATGGAAAATGGATTATTTGGAAGGGAAATAGATTTGCTCAGCCTTGGTATATTGAAAAGTTCTACACACTGCCCTCCAGTTTATATGCCTATTACTTGCTTTTGGATTCTCAAGTGATTCTTTCCAGATTCTGAACAAAGAACTGCACAATATTTGCAGAAAAGGATTCCCCCCATTTCTTTAAAAGACACTTTTTATTATATAGTGAAAGCTGGCCTTGAACACAATAATGTATCCCAGGCTGGCCTCAAAATGTCCCAAGTGCTGTTCATTTATTGTACACAAAATGTACATAAATGTCCTAAGTGCTGTACATTTATTGAAGGTGGAAGAGCAGTACACTTGGGTGCAGTGGTACATGCCTGTAGTCCCAGCACATAGGAAGCTGAGGCAGGAGGACTGCCATGAGTTTGAAGCCAGTCTGTGCTATAAGTTTCAGGCCAGCCTCCATTACATAGTGAGATCCTGCCTAAAAAAAAAAAAAGAATACTCTGTAAAGTGAACTGGAGCAGACTCACAGCAGCCATAAGAAATAAGGATAGGATCTATTGTATCTCCAGTTCTTGGATTGCTTCTCTCCTATACAAACAGAGCAGTTGAGACAGTTGGCCTCTCACAGCCTCACTTCAGTTTAAGCTGGCCTAGCTAAAGCCTACTTGGTTTCTCACCAGATGTAAATGAAGAGTTGAAGATAGGATTTTCTGATTGCTCTTGTGGATAATGCTGCAGATTCTGTGTTCTGCACATGTATTTGGGTCTCCATGACTGATAAGGCATGCCAATGTGTTCAATCACTTTGTGCCCTGCCCTAGTCTCTTTCTTTACTCTCATTTGCATTATACAAATGCTATTTTCCCAGAATTTTGAAATCCTTTATAAATTTTGAGAGTTTGAGTAAATGAACAATGTGATACTTTGTTCTACTTTGTTCATTGGTAAGGTTGAATACTTCTTTATATGTTTATAGGTCATTACTGTGTATTTATCTGTGAGTGTGTGGTCACTTGCTTTGCCCAGTTTTCTTTTGAGATATTAATCTTTTCCCAACCTATAAGACATCTTGATGTGTTTTGCATTTAAACATTTCTTCTCATACATATTGCTGCTATTTTTTGTGTTCTTTTAACTCTTCATAGTTGTCTTTTAATGAAGAGAGCAGTTTTACATTTCTTTCTTCAATGTTTTATAACTTCTAAGTGATTTTGTGGCCTCTTAAAATATATTTCTAGCTACTTATTAAAATATTTTCCTTTATTGTCTTAAATCTTTATATTTGTTCAGTTTTAAAATTCATAGAGCTGGACATAGCACATGCCTGTAATCCTAGCACTTGGTAGGCTGAGACAGGATTGCTGTGAGTTCAAGTCTAGCCTGGAATACATAGTGAGACTGTCTCAAAAAAATAATAATTAAAGTGAAATAAGTCAGTTCTGCATGTGCAAGCATTGTATTGTCTCACTGGTATAAGAACATGAAAGAGTAAATAAAATCTGAAAGGTATAATAGAAAAAAATAATTCATGGAAATATGGGTTTGGATTTAGGTGGTTTCCCCTTAGTTGCCTTCTGGAAGTAAATATTCTGGAGAATGGTTGTATCCTCCAGAACCTCAACTTACATCCACATTTTTAAAAATACACAATGTGGTCAATTAAAAAATGCCAGGCAAAGAAGTAGGTATATCAGCTGACTGAAAGCCAAGATTGCAGTGATGCATGCATGCACATGTTTATACGATGGCTGTGTGTCCGCCAGAAGATGAATGGATAAAGAGAATATGTATTTATATACAATGAAGTACTTTACTTCTCAACCATAAAATGGATACATTGGAGTTATTTGTAGGAAATGGATACACCTTGAGGCCATAATGTTAAGTGAAATAAATCACACACAAGCTTAAATATAACATTGTTCCTCTTATATGAGAAAACCAAAGTAAAAATAAAGAACAAAATAAAAGGGAAATAATAGGAAGGAGGGAGACAGATCTTACTCAAAAGAGAAAGGAATTGGGACCAGGGCTAGAACTCAGTGGCACAGAGCCTGTCTGGCAGGTACAAGGTCCTGAGTTCAATTCCTAGTTCAAAAAAAACAAAGAAGAGGATTAAGAGATGGAAGGACAGAAGAGGGAAGTAGGGGCTGGTGAGATGGCTCAGTGGTCTAAAGCACCTACTTAAAACAAGCTCAGCAAAGCACAGGGACCGCGGTTCAATTCCCCAGCACCACATGCCAGCCAGCCCCGCCCCCTGGTGGGCTGAGCTGGCCACACACACACACACACACACACACACACACACATAAATAAATAAATAAAATTTAAAAAAAAGGTTCACTAGAATATTAAAAAAAAAAAGAAGAGGGAAGTAAGCACAAGAAGGGCTAGGGCATGAAAAAAACTGGGATGTGTTATATACATACACTAGCTCCGCACAGGCCTGTAAAACATAAACTACAAACATACACCAAAAAAAGGCAATGTATGGATAAAAACATTTTTTTTTTTTTTGAGACGGGGTCTTGCCATATGGTTCAGGCTAGTCTTAAACTTACTATGTAGTCCATGATGGCCTTGAATTTGTAACAGTCCTCTTGTCTCTGCCTCTTGAGTGCTGGGATTACAGGTATGTGCCACCACACCTGGCTTAGTAAACTTTTTTATTAAAACAGGTGAATCAAGAGGTAACAGGAAAGGGGAGGGAGGTAGAGAAAGTAGATGAAGAAAGGAATTAAGATGTATAATGTGCAATTAGGGACTACTCATAAGTGAAATAAATCAGATTCACATATATAACCATTGTATTGTCTCCCTAGTGTAAGAAACTGAAAGGGCAAATAAAATCCAAAAGTTATAATAGATACTGTGAAAGGGAAAGAAACTGTTAGAAAAGGAGAAAAGAAAGAAGGAAAGGGGAAAAATTATACATATACATATATATGTATGTATATATATATGTGAATATATATGTATGTATGTATGTATGTATATATATGGTAGCCAAGATAATTGTACTACTAATTTCTGTGGGTTTATTATAAGGAATAGTTAATGGTTAGTTGTTCTGACCAATTTTATATTCTTATATCTAATAATCTGAAAACCTTTGAAGATAACAATATGCAGTGTAACAAGCACTGTTGATTCCTATCATCTTGTTTTGAAAGTATCATTTTAAATGTTTTTTACTTTTTTTTTTTTTTTATCTTTAAAAAAGAAGGGGCTGGGGATATAACTCAGTGGCATACACCTGCCAGGCAAGAGCAAGGTCCTGAGTTTGATTCCTATTCCTGGTACCAAAACAAAACAAAAAAAAAAAAAAAAAAAAGAAAAGAAAACAGAAAAAAGTGTTACACACATGTACTACACATACCTACTAATGAAATAAAATTTAAACAAAAGACATAAGAGATCCAGCTACTGATGTTATTAGAAGGAATTTTTAAAAGCTGAAATTAATATAGTCAAAAAAATGACAAGATGGAGAATTACAGCAGAAAATCCACTCTATAAAATAATTAGTTACAAATTCGATAACACTTAAATGGCACAGTTTCGTAGTGTGATTTTTTTTTTTTTGTAGAAATGAAGGGTTTTTTTAATGGTACAAAATAAAACATGTAACATGAAATTCTCTTTTCTTTTTCTTTTTTCTTTTCTTTTTCTTTTTTTCTTTTTTTGTAGTGCTGGAAATCAAACCAGGGTCTTGTGCATATTTAGGAATCTGTACTTTTAACAAAGATTTTAAGTGCACAGTACAATATTGTTAACAATAAGAATGGTGTTGTATAGCAGTGCTCTAGAACTTTCTCAGTTTGTATGACTAAAACTACCCAGCTCACCATTCTCTGTGGCTCAACATTTAGGTTGTTTCCACATCTTGGCTATGGTGAGTAATGCTGAAATAAGCACAGATGTGGAAATATCTAAGGTTCTGATTTTTTTTTTTTTTTAAGGTTCTAATTTGACTCAACACTCCAAAGTAGAATTGCTTGGTCATGTGGTAGTTCCATGTATAATTTTGGGGGATTTGCCATAGCAACGCTGTGCCCATTTTTTCTTGCCATCAGGGTACTAAGATTATAATTTCTCCACATCTTCACCAACACTTGTTATTTTCTAGGTTTTGTTGTTTTTCTTTTTTCTTTTGATACAGGTCTCACTATGTAATTTCAGCTGGCCTTGAATTCACTACGTAGACCAGTAATCCTCCTGCTTCAATCTCTGAAGTGTTTGGATCATAAATGACTTTAGTTATTTATAATGGCCTTTCTAATGCTAACGAAGTAATAATTTATTGTGGTTTTGATTTTTGTGTCCCTGAGAAGTGATGTTGAGCATCATTTTATATAACTAGTAACATACCCTTGAATATGTACTCCATAGATGGTATTCTTAAAGCTGATTAGTATTGCCTTTGGGAAAAAGAAATGGGTGATAGGAGTGAAAAGGACACACTTTCTTTTCACTGTCCTTTTTGTTCCATTTGAAGACTGTACCAGTTGCATTTGTTACCTCTTCAAATAACTATTATTTTTTAAAATTCCTTATGATGATCCTGTTGTGCCTACAATCTATTCCCTCTCTCTTTTTCTCTCATACACACACACACACACACACACACACACACACACACACACAATGCTGTTTTTAAGGTCATAAGCTCACCCCTGCTGGTGTCTTTTGTCTTGATAGAGGCATTCAACTTACAGCAGCCTACGGCCAGCCAACAAAGGAATGACTCAGCGCTTGGATATCCCAGAACTTCCCCTCTCAGGTGAGTTACCTTAAACATAAATCACTTTTGACCCATTTTTGTGGGGTTGACTTGACTTTTCTTTTTGTGGTACCATGGACCAAACTGATAATCTTGCACTTGCCAAGCAGGTGCTTATGCCCCTAAGCTAAATCCCCAGCCCCAATTTGACTTTTCATGAAACTGAACTTAGAAAAATAAATGGTGGCATTTATTCCAACTGATTCCTACCAGTAAGTGCATACATCCAGCTTTGCAGCCTAGAAAAACATACTTCTCACTAGCTGCACTTTTTGGTGTACATAGATGAGAGGAATGCTAAACATTTTTTAATGAATCGAATCTTAAAAATCTTTTTTTAAAAAAATCTTTTAAAAAGACACCTTCTGGGGCTGGGGAGATAGCTCAGTTGAATAAGCACTGGCCAGGGCCTGAGTTCAATCCCCAGCTCTGAAAACACCAGAAAAATACCTTCTAAGAAAAATATGTGATTTTGCTGGGTGTAGTGGCACATGGCTGTAAATCTAGCACTTTGGAGGCTGAGACAGGAGGATCATCTGGAATTCAGGGCCAGACTGGGTTACATAGTGAGTTTAGGGCCAGCCTCCACTACATAGCTGGACCCTGTCTCAAAAACAAAATAAAGGGGCCAGCCAGATAGCTCAGTGGACTAAAGTGCCTACCTAGGCAGAGTACATTGGCCAGGGTTGATCCCTGGCTTGCTGTGCTGGGCCCGCCCTCAGGAGGTGCTGAGATGGGGGTTGAGACTGGGCGTGGTGACGTGCACCTGTAATCCTGGTGCTTGAGGCTGAACACAGGAGAATCACTATGAATCTGATCTATGTAGTGAGACCCTGTAGACCCTGTACTAAGATACATAAAAATAAATAAGTAAATAAATAAAAATAAATAACAAATATGGTTTTAAATTTATCTATTGTTTCTACAATTCTTAAAATATAACTTTATTCAGATAGCACTGTCTTTAGATGTAATTCTCATCCTGTTGTTATACTGTATTTTTAAAAATTTAAATCTTGATAATGAAGTAGGGGTTATAATCAGTAGTCTTCATAGAATCTTTTTCACTCATGCTGCACTTCGTGTGCTGATGGCTAATTTGAGTAATTTTTAAAAGAGGAACAAACCTAGGTGTGGTGTGCATACCTGTAATCCCAGCACAGGGAAAGCTGAGGCAGAAGGATCTCCGCAAGTTCAAGCCCAGCCTGGGCTGCATAGTGAGTTCAAGACCAGCCTGAACTACGGAGTGAGACCTTGCTAAAAAACAAAACAAAAGTGGGATTGCTTGGGCTTAAATCTTGGCTCTACTGCTGACAGTCTACCTTGACCTTCTTGTGCTCTGGTTTCCTAATGTGTTAAGTAGAGATATTTACATCATAGGATTGTTTGACTAAGATTAACACGTTTAAAACACTTAGGACCCAACCTGGACTGTGATAGGCATTTTTAGAAATATTTTTTTATTATTATTATTGTCCTCCTTCTTCTCTGCTAAACCAATTCAGAAGCCCAGAACAAAAACAACAATACTTTCAGCCGTCCTAGAATAATATTAGTTAAGGTTATGTAGAATACAGGCAAACCTCAGAGAGATGGTTGGTTTGCTTCTGGCCCACTACAGTAGAGCTAAGAGCACACGGAAGTGAATTATAGACTTTTTGATTTTCCAATACATATAAAAATCACACTGTCCTATAGTCTACTACATGTGTAGTAGTGATGCCTCAAAAATACTAACCTAATTAAAATAGTTTATTGCTTAAAAATACTCATAGTCAACTCAACCTTCAGCAAAGTTAAAATCTTTTTATTGGTGGAGGATCTTGCCTCGGTGTTGATGGCTGCTGAATGGTCAGATCGTAGTTGCTGAAGGTTGGTGTGGTTCTGGCCTTTTCTTACTAACACAGTCGAATTTGCCACATTGATTCTTCCTTACATGAAAAATTTCTCTGTAGTATGTAACGCTGTTTGACATTTAGTCCCAGTAAAATTTGAGTAAAATTGGAGTCAATCCTTTAAAAACTACCTAAGTTTATATCTATTCTTTTCTTTCTTTTTTTGGTACCAAAATCAAACTCAGGGCCTTGTGCTTGCCAGGCAGGCATTAGGTCACTGAACTATATCCCTGGAAGTTTATGTAATATTCAAAAGTCTCATCATTATTTCAACAGTGTTCCTATCATGTTACCAGATGTAATCATTCCAGAAATTGCTGGAGAAATTATTCTCTTGCTTATCCATAGAAAATGATCCTCATCTGTTACAGTTTTATCATGCAATGGGAGCAGTTGAGTCGCATCTTTTTCTTTTTTTTTCTTTTTTTTTTTCTTGGTACCAGGGATCAAAATCAGCACCTTGTGCTTGCCAAGCAGGTGCTTATGCCACTGAACTATATCTCTGGCCCCGAGTCACATGTTCTGACTCCTAATTGTCTTGCTATTTCTACAATTCCAGTTAACCTCCTGTATTGAAGTCTTAAACAACTCAAAGTCATCTATGAGGGCTGGAATCAGCTTCTTCTAAACTGTTAACATTGGTATTTTCATTTCCCTGTGTGAATCTTGAATATTCTTAATAGCTTCAAGAATAGTGAATCTCTCTCAGAAGGTTTTCAGTTTACTATGTTTTCATCTATCAGAGGAATCACAACCTCTGATAGCAGTAGCCTTGCAAAATCTATTGTATAAATAACGAGACTGGAAAGTCAGATTTACTCCTTGATCCATGGGCTCCAAAATAGATGCTGTTGGCAGGACTGAAAAACATTTATCTTATTGTACCTCTCCACACAAGCTCTTAGGTCACCAGGTACATAGTCAGTAGGCATTAATCTTTTGAAAGAAATTTTTTTTTTTTTTTTTTTTCGGAACCGGGAATTGAACTCAGGCCCTTGCGCTTGCCAGAGAAGCACTTATTCCACTGAGCCATCTCCCCAGCCCAAGAAATACTTTTTTAAAAAAATTTCTTTCCTGAGTTATAGGTCTCAACAGTGAGCTTTAAATATTCAGTAAACCATGTTGTAAGTAGATGTGTGTCATCCAGGCTTTGCTGTTCCATTTATAGAGTGCAAGCAGTGTGGATTTGCTATCATTCTTAAGGGCCTCAGGATTGTCACAATGGTAAATGAGCAAAGTCCTGTGTGAGCTTTTTTTCAGTTGTAGTGAAAGCTACATAACATAAAATTTGTCATCTTAAACTTTTCTAAGTATGCTCAGTAGGTAAGATTTGGATCATAGTATTTGTGATCTCTTCTCTCTGTCCTGTTAGCTTCAGCATTCTGTGGTCTAACAAAACCATTATTTTGATTTACAAGATAAATACTGTAGTTAAGAATACAACTTGCTGTGGAATAAGTGGCTCATTGATACCCTTTCTTTTCCTTTCCCACACCAGGCACCTGTCTAGTAGGATGATTCTATTTACTGTAAAAAAGAAAGGATTACACAGTAAAAATTGTTTGCTTCCAACAATTTTCAGCAGTTGCTTGTCAACATTGAGGTCATCAGAAGCTGCAGGAACAAGAATGTGCTGTTTTTGTTGTTCTCTTTAGTGATGTAAACATTGTTTTTCTCTGCTATTTGGAGTTAATTGGCTCTACTCACAACTTCACTACCCATAATTGGTGGCTATGTGCTATAGAAGTACTGTTTTCATTTGAGTCCACAGGAGGCCACCATGGGCTCTGCCTGGTTACTGGCCTGTCATACAGCTTAGGTCTAGTTACTTAATTCTCTGAGTTACAGTGTTTTCTATCCGTCTAAATCAGACAGTTTTGACAATTTTTTCCTGTTCTCTACTTTTATGGTCCTGTAAGAAAGAGCTGGAAACCAGGCATTGTAGCACATTCCTATAATCTCAATACTGAAAAGCTGAAGAAAGAGGACTGCAAGTTTGAGTTCAGGGTGGTAACTTAGAGATTTAGCAAACCCTGTCTCAAAATAAAAAATTTAAAAAGGCCTGGGAAGTAGCTTAGTGTGAGGGCCCTGGGTTTAATCCCCAATACTAAAAGGGAAGAAGAGAGGAAAAAAAGTTTCAGGAGGATTCAGCCTATTTGTTTATCTGTTTAACTCAGACAATAATAGTAACAAGCCTTTAAAGAGTTATTTTTGCGTGTTTTTGTGGAGCCAATCCCTATTGTTACAAGGCCCTTTCTTTTATAAAACACTTACTATTCTTTTTCCACAGCGTTTTGTCTGCTGCTGCCTGTGACTTTATAATCATGAGGCATTCTCTGCCAGTTCCATGCTCTTTCTGCTGTCCAGTGATCAAAATAAAATTTCAGAGAGGGGTCGATTTGTGGGCATTTGACCTGAATAGTTGAACAAACCTCTTAGAAGAGACCATACATTGCTTAATGCTCCAATAAAGCCCCTTGAAATTCATAATAATTTTTGAACAACATTTTGATTTGGCACTAGGTCCAATAGATTATATATAGTAATTAGCCCTGCCTGAAAAATGTTTAAAAAATACTATGTCCTTATTTTTATTACTAATTTCAGGAAAATATACACACATACATATACATGCACATTTACGGTTGGAAATAAAATGAGAATTATGTTGTACTTAAAAATAAACTATTATTATCAGTCATATTTCTCTTCGGGAATAGGTAACTGTGTCTTTGCTTCAGATCTTCTGAAGGGGAGGACTGAGGACCTGAAGCCGGACCCTTACCTCCGAAAGAGTCCTTCACTGGAGTCACTGAGCAGACCTCCTTCCCTGGGCTTTGGGAGCACCAGACTATTGAGTGCCTCCACTGGGGGGTTGAAACCACCAAGCAAACTCAGGTACCATGTTTTAAACAGTGAGAAATCAGAAAAATACTGGTTGATAACCTTTTGCTTTTACTTCTGTTTTGTCTCTCAGGTCAGTTTATTTCTACAAATATTTACTGAATGAAAATAATTAAGATATAGTGCCAGCCAGTCACAATGACACACATCTATAATCCCAACTACTCAAAAAGTAGAGATAGGATTGCAGGTTTGAGGCCAGCATTGTCAACTTAATTAGACTGTCTCAGAAAAAAATACAGCTGTAGCTCACAAATAGTCTCAGAAGAAAACAATACTTTCATAGCTGGGGTAGTAGTGTTCCTGGGTTCCATCCTTAGTACTGAGGGGGAAAAATATACAGTCCTTGTTTTCATAGTATTGTGCAAAGTAAAATGGACTGCTTAATACACACACACACACACACGCACACACACAACATGTAAAGTACTTGGGTGGGTTGTTTGTTGGTTCAGGAATTCCAAAGAGAAGTGGCCTTTCTGCCAGGGGTTGTAAAGATGTCATTATGAGCAAACTGGAACTAGACCCTGGACTTCCCAAGGGGTAGGGCTCTGCCTGCTCTCAGTCAATACTGGTGGGGTAGAAGGATGGATGACTACGCTGTCAGAGCTGGAAAGGCAGGCTGTTGCAAATAGTCTTCATTGCCAGCAGAGAAGTTCATACATATTTTGGTAAAGCAGTGAGGAACCACTAAGTCTGTGGGATTTTGTTTTTGTTTTTGAGTGGCAGTTAAGATCAGACCTGCTCTTTAAAAAAGGATTAATTGAACACAATGGCATATGAATGGGATTAGAGAGGGATTTTTGAGATCAGTGTTTCAAGGGACATTAGCAAAGATGGAAGGATGCAACAGGAGTGGGAGAGAACAGTGAGGGAGGCCCAGTGGTCACCAAGAATCTGTCTTTGCTCCCAAATCTTTGCCATATCCTCTTCAGTGTGTTTGGTCACCCAGGCCCCAGGAAACTTCCTTCAGCTGCTTCCTCTCCCTGGCAGGGCCTTTCCTCCTTCTCTATGTTAGGTAGTCTTCTGAGGCACTGTGTGCATACTGCCAGCAGACCTCTCACAAACCGATGTGACTCTGTCATCCACAGTCCTCATCCTGGTTTTCTAGCTGTACCACAACTTGGCATCACTGACACTTAGCTGCCAGAATGACCCAGCCCTTCACTCTATGCAAGCCTATCTTACTCTCTTTGCAATATATTGTGAGCATTTCTGATTGAAAGTATTTCTTTATAAAGTTCCAGCTTGAATTGCCTTCCTTTTTGTCCTTTCACACTTCTAAGTGCTTGCTTCTGCTTGAACATGAGACTTTCCATGAAGTTTGTACTATCCATGGTAGCACCAACATTACCCTTCTCTGCCATTGGTGTCTTACGTTCATGTGAGGGTTTAATTCCTATGCTGCTGTGTAGTGTGACTGACCTGCACAGTACATTCCCCTTTTCCCAGAAAGGCTATAATTTAGTGGATAATAAATGTTTTGTCTTACATTTTGTCATCTTTCCTCCACCCTTGTCTGTGCTACATACATAGCATTTTGTTCACTACTTATGAATGGGTAAATAAATACACAAAACTATGTTACAAGTAAGAACTTTATAATAAATACTATAATTATCAACATGAGTATTATAAAACAATTTATGAAAGTGTGAGTAAGTTCAGCTCTTATATTTTTGGGTGTAACCTACATTTGGACCCAAATAGATTAAGTCATGTGTTTCAAGGGTTGCATATAAAGCCCCTAATATTGTCTGTTGTCCTGTTTATTTGCAGATTTCAATAATCAAAACAGATTTTAAAGGACCAGAATTAGTATTATTCTCAGATTGGTATAAGTAATACCTACAAAAGACTATTTATTATTATGCTGTGTATACCTTTCATCATGAAAAGTTGTTAGTGAAATTAATTTATTTCAGTTTTACATGTCATTAAGATTAGCCCATGGCAGGATAAAAATGACTTAATTAGAAATTTATGACCTGCACATTTGTAATCCCAACACTTGGGAGATTGATGCAGAGGACCGTGGTGAATTTGAGGCCTTCTGTGCTACATAGTGAGTTCAAGCCAGACTGAACTACATAGCTAGACAAAAAAAAAAAAAAAAGGCGCACATGCAAAGAAGTTTCTAGCTTGCATTATTAAATATAGAGGGGAGGAAATTATACTTTTGAAAAGAATATTTGATGACTGCTTCTTTTACTAATGCAGAAAGTCTTTTGTTTCAGTCCTCTCTAATTTGTCAGGTCTAAGTGATGACACAAAGCCAGGTTTGGTCACCAACTTTGTAGTTAACAGCAACCCTGACCAAAGTAACTCATAGAAAATGACTTCACAGACCTGTCAGATATGAAAAGAAAATAGTCATCAAACTGTACAAGGAAAACTTAAATCATGTTTGAACTGTTTTTCTTAAAATCGCTATACCATAGTTCATATTCCTGAAGTCTAGAATCATGTATTCCTATTTCTAACATCATCTAAAATATTTTTATTAAATATTGGGTGGATTATTTAGAGAAGTCTAAACTTTTTCATTGAAAGTTGAATAATTTTACTGTATGAAAAATTGACAGTAAATTGAAAAGTATATAACATTGTTAACATGAAAAAATATGAAACCCAGAGACAATGCATGCACCTCAGAGAGAAGGCTTATGCAAAGATTATATATTCTCTTCATAAAAGATTGGACAGTGAGGAAGTAAGCAGTTTTATAGAAATAGTACATTGTTTTTCAGGCAGATAAGTGGGTCCAGGACAATAGACAGCTATCTTAGACAGCGATCCTCTCAGTCTAGACATGTTTGACCTCAGTCTTCCTTCCTATGATGTTAGTCTTTTCTAGCAAATAAATTAGAGTTAGAAGAAAGAAGGTAGCTGTATTCCTTTCTTAGTGGATCTGGTTAGCTAGAAAAGAGTACTTTATAGAAAGTCTATCCCTGTGCTGACAGAGGGAGAAACGAGGAATAATCAGAGGTCCTTACATTCATCAACTGTCTGTCACTGTAACAAGTACCTGAGATGATCAACTTATAAAGAGAGGTTTATTTGGGTTCAAAATTTTTGAGGTTCCAGTCCATGGTAAATTGACTCTATAGCTTTGGGCCTATGGCAAGGCATCACATCAAGTCCAGCATAAAACTGCTTACTTCAATTAGGCCATACCTCTTAGAAGTTCCACCACTTTCCAACAGTGCCATTCTGAGGATCAAGCCTAACTCTAGTGGACCATAAATCCAAAGCAACTTCTAAGGTCTTTCATCATGTCAAGGTCCCAGTGTGTGGGTGTGGGATCTCTTTTATTGAGCCCCATTAAGGCCAAAAAAATTAATATGTAGAAGACATAAATTAACTAGACAATGGAGATCTACTTCAGTGCCTACCTCCCAATTTAAGGAAGAGAAAATTAATGCTTTTGAAATTTCTTCTCAGACTCTTTCTTTTGTGTTACACTTACTCTTTAAGATAACCACTGTTGTATGTGCACGTGTGTGTGTGTTTAAGACAGGGTCTCACCATGCAGTTCAGGCTGGCCTTGAACTCACTGTAGCTCAGGCTGGCCTTAAACTTATGGTGATCCTCCTGCCTCAGTCTACCAAGTGCTAGGATTACAGGCATGCTACCACTGCTGTATATTTAGTATTTATCTCTCCTTGCCTTTTTATTTGCATATTACCACATATTTGCATCCCAAAACAATATAAAAGTTATATTTTTGGATATTCAAAATTTTACATATGTTGAAACATTGTATGGTATATTTTCATTCAAAATTATTCCTGCATACATCTACAGTTCATTGATTTTTTTCTTACTCTAGAGTATAAGAAATCATTTGCCTATTGATGTATATTGAGATGTTAATTTTTTTTTTTTTTACTATTTCTATTATAGAGAGTTTTCCTATGAACATTCTTGTGTCTGTATCCTGATGATATCTATCCTAGGAGTAAAGTGCTTACTATAGTGAATGCTTCAGAAAGACACCTCCTTTGTATTCTGTTTCCCTGGGGTCAGCCACTTTCTTTTCTAGTACTGCAGTAAATGACACTTGGGTAATGGGTACTAAACAAAATCCCATAGGATGAGGGAAATAAGATGCTGAAGAAAAATCCCATAGGAGGGCCTGGGGGTTAGCTCGTTGGTATAGTATGTGCCTGGCACGTGTGAGGTCCTGAGTTCAATCCCCAGTACCCCCCAAAAAAGAATCCCTTTATGAACATTGTTCTGATTTAGTGATGTTCATGATAGAGAGAACAATCTCTTTTTAACATTTGAATATTTTGGCTAGCATAAAAATTCCAGTATTAGAACCAGGGAGATAGCACAGCAGTCTTAAGCACCTGCCTGGCAAGCACAAGGACCCAGGTTCCATCCCTGGTACCACATGCTGTGCCAGCCCCCACACCATACTGGTTACTGAAACTGGGTGTGGTGGTACACACCTGTAATCCCAGCACTGGGGAGGTTGAAACAGGAGCATCACTGAGACTGAGCTGCGTAGAGAGACCCTGTACCAAATACATACATAAAATAAAGATCTTTTTTTTTTTAAATTCCAGTATTGGTAGAAAATGGAACCAGTTGCATGGGACACTTACACTCTTGCTCTAGGGGTGCAGATGTTTAGTAAAGCCATCTCAGTTTTGACTAGGTGAGCACTCAGGTGCTCAGAGCTGAGTTAATATTCCACAAGTGAAGAAAAACAAGTAGCCCTTGGTGTATGTAAAGCTCCCCTTTTGAGCCATTTATTTTGCTGATTTCTCCTCTTCACTTGCTTTACCTCTCCTATGACCAACCAATCTGCTATTTCATTTTTTTAAATTGTTTAGTATTTTTAATATGACCTTCCTATCTAACCTTTGATGTTCCCTAAAGTGGGTGTAGTCTTGAAACATGTAGAGTGGTTTTAGTACAGGTGTTTTTTATTCAAATGATACTGCGCTTCGCTGAACAAATAAATGGGTGGCCTGCTGGATTTTAAAGCAAAACAAACTGTCTCCCCTAAATTGTGTTCAGAAGCACAATTTAGGTTTTCTTTTACCCCATAAGGTAATAAAATTATTATTAATGTGACTAATTTGGTTGTCCCATTAGAATCTCTCTCAATAAAGCTAAGATTTGCTTTTGCTTAGCTAGATATTTGTTTCTTATATATTTGAGAGTTCCAGTGTCTTTTTCTTACTATGTGTTCTTCTTTCTAACTAGTGTGGAAAGAAGAGACCCTCTGGCAGCCTTAGCCCGGGAATATGGTGGCTCCAAACGCAATGCACTATTGAAATGGTGTCAGAAGAAGACAGAAGGTTACGCGGTAAGGGCAGGTGCAGCCAGTGGGATGGTAGTGGTCCTGTGCCAGAATGTGTTCCAGGTGTGCACGTGCATGGTGGTCATATTCACTTACGATTGTTAATCTTCCTATTCTCCTGGAAGGGGTTCCAGAGAGGATGTTGTATTTGTGCACTGCACAAAGGCCCCCAGATAAGGAGGCAAATGGGACCAAGTGGCAGTGTATGCATGGCCCACAATGCAGGGTGATATCTATAGGAAAGTGACGCCATTTTTCTGCTCCTAGGAGGTATGAACTGTCTAGTAGGACTGCTGCAACCTCAAACTGCTTTTGCTAAGTCATTCTCCCAAAGAGGGTACCTTTTCCCAATCACACAAAGGCCCCAAGAGGCTAGCTTCACAGTTTTTACAAAACTTTCTTTCTGTGGATTTCAGAGTTGTAAGAGTTTAAGAGTTTTAGTTTAACTCTGTTTTAGGAAGACAGTTTTTGTTTTCTGTAATGATCAGACAAGGAATATTGGATACAGGTTTATTATATAGACCTTTTTATTACAAAATGCCATACACAAAGATAAAAGTGCTTGAGACATAAATCAGAAGTTCATGCATTGTTGTGAGGTGAAATCTCACCTAGCAACAGAGCACTACTAGTCCTCACAAAATTTTTGTATTATTTTCCAACTTTGACTCTTCACTACTCTCTGAGATGCCTGTTGACCTCAATACTTTTTATTTCAGATTCTTATGAAAGTATGTGCCCCTAAGTATACTATGTTAATTTTGTGTACGCTTGAATTTTGCATAAGTGGAACAAAAGCTATATAATACTTGGGTCTGGCTATTTCACATAATGTTAATAAGATTTATACATTGTGTTACATGTGGCTATATTTTATTTTCTTTACCATTTAGTAATATATTACATGATTATGCTATAATTTGTCTACTATATTATTTGTGGACAGTTAGGTCCTTTCTAGTTTGGGGCTGTTTTAGACAGTGCTGATGTGCTCTTGTACATGTGTTCAGGAATGCATATATTCTCATCCCTATTTGATATATATCTACAGATGGAACACTGGGCCATATCATATAGTAGATAGTGCCAGATTTCTGAAGTAATTATGTAATGAGTGTCCCATTAGCAATTATGAGAGATAGATTTCTCTGCATTCTCACCAACACTTGGTATTGTTGGTCTTCATAACTCACTCATTTGGTAAGTATGTAGTGGTATCTTACTGTGGTTTTTTCTTTCTTTTTGTCTGTCTTTCTGTCTGTTTGTTTTCTAAGACAAAGTTTTGCTATGTATTTCAGGCTGGCCAAGTACTGCCATTATGGTTGTGCACCACCATGGCTAGCTCTTACTGTGCTTTTGATTTGCATTTTCTTGTTGGCTAATAGCATTAAGCATTAATGGCACACACTAAGCATGATTGGTCATTTGGACAGACTCGGTGGAGATGGAATTGCTTAGGTCATTTTTATGATCTGGTCTGATCTGATCTGGTCTGATGTTATTTTATGGTGGTGCTGGGGAATGAACCCAGGGTCTTATGCGTCATGCTTAGCACACAATACAACCAAGTTACATACTCAACCCTTGCCCACTTTTATCACCTTGTCTTTCTCTTCCTTACTGCTTTTAGGAGTCCTCTATATATGCTGTACATAAGTTCTTTGTCAAAGAGATGTGTGCCAAATATCTTCTCCCAGTGTGGCTTGAATTTTTGCTCTTTCAATGAAGACTTTTAATTTTAATTAAGTATAATTGATCAGTTTTTTCTCTAATGGCCAGTGCTTTTGTTAAGAATCTAGAGTCAGAAATATATTGTCCCATGTTTTCTTCTACAGGTTTTACTATTCTGCTTTTCATATAAGATATGAAATCACTGTTTAAAACCACTAGTTCTTATGTTCTTTTACTGAAGCTCAACCATCACCTGTCTCATTTTGCTAAAATTTCTGAGGTACTACCACATTATCTTCCCAATCTCAAACTTTCAGGGGTTGTAGGAATAGAAAAAAGAAAATAGCAGGTAACCAGGACCTCCACCAGCCCAGATAGTTGAAAAACAGAAGCTGAGATTTTCTTGTGCTCTGTTGTCAGCTCTTATCTTAAGTTACTTTTCTCATTGCTGAGACAAAATACCTGACACAACTTAATAGATGAAAGGTTTATTTCAGCTCACAGTTTATAAAGGTTTCCATCCATAGTCAGCTTGTGTCAAGGTAAGGTAGTATGGCAGAGGGGCATTGCAGAGGAGAAATAGTCCATGGCACACAGGCAGGAAATAGCAAAGCAGTAGCAGCAAGCCTGCCTTTTCAGGCCCTTTACATTCTATTCAGGCGACAAACCTATTGAGTGGTGCCACCCTTATCTACGGTGGGGCTTCCATTATTTACACCCTTCCCACATTCACATGTCCTAATCCAGCCTCCTTCGAAACTCCCTATCTATAACCACTTGAAGTTTTGGGGATCTAGCTATAAGCAATAACAGCCATCCAATGTCTTTAACGTTAGAATCTATAAATATCTAGTATCTTGGTAATTTTAGCATTGCCTTCTTCTGTTTCAAAAAGCTGTGAATGGTGACACATTCTTGTAATCCCAGCATTCTGGGAAGCTAAGGCAGGAGGATCTCAAGTTGAAACCTCTCCTAGGTAACTTAGGAAGAACCTGTCTTTAAATTTAAAAATTGAAAAGGTTGGGGATAGAGCTAAATATGAAGGCCTAGGAGTTCAATATGTGGTTCCATACAAAAGAGAAAAAGAAAAAACCTAGTCATGTTCATGATTGATAACAGAGACTTCTAGAGGATTCACTTGCTTCTGGTCCATTGTCTGAGCATTTCTGTACATCCACTGTCAGCCCCAGTCAAAGGGTCAAACTGTCCCTAAAATAGAGGCTACCAGATATCATCAGCATTCTTTGATTTCTCAGCCACACAGGTGGGGAAGCAAAACAAAAAAGTCAGAGAGAAAAAGCTGAGTATGGGAGGTTTTAGCATAAAGGAAATAGGAATGATTATGCAAAATTGAAGAAAACAAAAGGAATAGTCAGATATGAAGTCTTGACTGTGGTTGAACTGGCAGTGTGGTTACCATTGGGTGCTATCGTTTCCCCTGTGCAGAAACAAGTTGAGGTAGCTGTCAGAAGGACACAAAAAGACAGTTTAAAATTTCATAAGGCATTGGCCCTTTGTGATGTACTGCTGTTAAAATTAGATGGCTGAGAGGAGATAGTAAGATGTCACAATTATACTCCTGAGAATAGTATTTCCTGCTGTTACAATTTTTTGTTTTTTTCATGGACATACTGAGTTAGTTTTCAAAACAGTTACATTTGATAAAATCCACAATTTATTTTGCCTGAAGAGTATTTTTTACTCATTGTTAAATGTCTGGATATTTATTTATTTATTTTTTAATGTCTGGATATTTAGAGAGAAATATAAAACATATGTATCTGCTTTATTGTCTTTTCACAAAATATTCTTTATCTGGCCTGTTCATCTAAGGTACCTTAGAGGCATGTTCTCTCAGAATTAGGATGCCAGAATAAATTCTTGAAAACTCGGGTTGGTTCATAGTCTTCTGGAAGACCAGTAGCCATTTATATTTTGACTTAAAATAACTCTTTTTACCTCAGCAAAGTATTGTATGATAGGCCATGTCAAATTCATCCATATATTAATTCAGTAATGAATTGTGGAGAGATCTACTTAATGCCAGGTAATGTTTTAGATGCTAGTGATTGGCAATAAATGGAGCAGGCTCTTGTGGAACTTACTTTCTTATGAACACCAGCAGTTAATTTAAAAAGTAAAGTATATACTAAGTTAGAAGAGAGTGGATGCTGTAGAGAAAAATAAAGCAAGGAAGGGGGTTTGGCAGTGTTGAGTGAGTTTTTTCTTATATGTGCCTATTATAAGCCTGGAGATTACTGGTGATAACTACACCAGTTGTAAAATAGAACAATAATAAAAGGGAGAGAGCCTTTTTACCAAGATACCACCAAAGGTGGAGAAGGAAGCCCCTGCCCTCCCAAAGCTGAAGCCAAAGCAAAAGCTTTGAAGGCCAAAAACACCACACTGAAAGGCGTCCACAGCCGCAAAAAGAAGATACGAATGTCACCCACCTTTGTTATGCCCTGTGGCTCTAGAGGTAGCCCAGATACCCACAGAAGAGCACTCCCAGGAGAAACGAGCTTGACCACTATGCCATCATCAAGTTCCCCCGACCACATGAAAAAGATCAAGGGCAACAACACACTTGTGTTCATTGTGGATGTCAAAGCCAATAAGCACCAAATCAAACAAGCTGTAAAGAAGCTCTGTGACATTGATGTTGCCAAGTGGGTCAATACCCTGATCAGGCCTGATGGAGAGAAGAAGGCATATGTTCGACTGGTTCCCAATTATGATATATTGGATGTTGCCAACAAAATTGGGATTCTCCAAACTGAGCCCAGCTGGCTAATTCTAAATACATACTTTCTTTCCCCATAAAAATACTTATACTAATACTAATAATATTAATACAAGAACACTTGTAACAATGTACTACCATAAAAGTTCTATGTAGGAAATTTTCTATTTCCTATTTCTGGGCCACAGTTGAATGTGGGTAACTGAAACTATGGAAGAAGAAACTATGGGGCTGGTGAGATAGCTCAGTGGGCTAAAATGCCTGCTTAGGCAAGCTTGGGCAGCCACAGGGGACTGCAGTTTGATCCCGGCACCACATGCTGTGCTAGCCCTGTCCTCAGGGCAGGCTGAGCCATCCAAAAGAAGGGAAGAAGAAACTATGAGTAAGGAGAATGACTACTAGGCTCAGGAGTCAAAGTTAGTTACTCTGTTATTTGGAATTTGTTTTTCTATATCTGTTGTTTGCATTGTAGTCCTGGAGATGGAACCAAGGAACACTTTACCACTGACCTATGTCCTCAGCTCTTACCTTGAGACAAGATCTCAGTAAGTTGTTCAGGATAGGCTCAAACTTTTAGGCCTCAAGCCCCAGT